GACCACGCTTGGCGTTGCTGAACTAGTGAACGGGTCCTCGGGTTACATCACATCACAGGAAAAGCTAGCTCGACAGTAAGGCAGTACTTTTCCATCATATTCCTTAGCTGTACCACTATCCCCCCCCCCCCCCCCCCCCCCCCCCCCACAGGGAGGACTCACAGATAATTCTGTGAGTCCTCCCTGTGAACCCATGCATCTTCCCTAACCAATGGGAACTCGCCTTACATGATCCAAAATAGTCACTGCGCTGCCACCAAATGTAGAGTGCGTGCGGTCGCCCATACAACCACTTCAAGCACACATATAAGCATATATTACACAACTGGAGGCGATTCCTTCAATTATATATATCAGCTGTCAATAGGACGCAAAATCAAATAAAACAAAACAAATAGCAAAATAGATTTGTTTTTACTCATTTCTCTTTGTGACTCTCATGAAAAGTAATTAGACAGCTATAAGATAGAGTTGGATTTTATAATTGTTTCGTGTTACATTTACGTAACCGCTCTTTTTAACGACAATAAGATACACACTGACCTGGGTTTTTACCAAAAGAAGACACCATGCTTATCTTAAGATTCGGACTTCAAATGGCGATATTTTCATCGAGACGTACGTAATGTTGCATTACAGCAAGTGGACAATACGCACATTTTCTAAAATTGTATCTGTAAGACGGGCAGTGAAGTTTGTTAGCTCAAATCATTAAAGGACTTGCCTCCATGTGTGCATGTTAGCTAATGGTGAAATATTTGTGCATTTGTCTCCTTGCGCGGATCTGATGCTGACTTTATAGAGCTGTTTCACTGAAATACGATACATCATATATGTGCGGGTTGTCCAGTTTCTGTAATGTAACAATATGTATGCCTCGTGAGGTACATCCATAAACCAAGTTCCCAGCACACATATACGCATGCACACAACGACCTTTGATTTTAATTCAACGTTAAACAATATAAATCTTTGCTCCGTCAAACATACTGTTTTTTGTGCATGTCCTTGTTTTGTGTTATCATGCAAAAAAACTTTATAAGGGATTTACGTTTTTGGAAAGGTAGCAATGTTCAGTCGGTATCAGATCCGCGCTACCATAAGGAGGGAAATACACCAAGATACAGACGCCAGCATGCATGCATTACAAACATAGAGTCATTTCTTTGAATGACCTTCGATTTTAAAAGGAATGTTAACCAAATAAAACCAAACCAGTGAAATCATGTGGGGAGATATATTCTAGCAATCTGCACTCTTCGTAGAAATGCGACTGTTGATATTTCCCTGTGTCGTGTATTGATGCAAAAAAACAACTTTTAAAATACCATTAATGAACATCAAGGATATTTATCTGATTTCTTGACATCTCGAAATGCATCGAGTCAAAAAGGGAGTCTACATATTCCCACAATATGATAAATCTAAGAAAAAAATGGTGAACATTTTTTTTTTTTTTTTTTTTTTTTTGATTGGCAAAAAATGTTTTTGATACAATATTTATATCATGTCATATACATAATCATCAACTCTTTCTGATACAGGTTTAAATCAATATCACATGTTAGTTATCAAGTCTTATCAACTCCTTTGCGGTCAAAATATCGTAACTATGATTAAATAGTGATAATTGAATATTGTGTGTGTTTATAGGTTACAAGCTTTTATTTTCATTGACTCGATATTGATAACATATCTGTACAACAAATGTTGAACGTTTGACTAATAGGGATGGTTTGGGGTTCTGCCCTGACCGAGACAAACCTCGTTCAGCACACATGCATACACAACACATAATTATGCACGTCCTTTAATTATAATATGGGTTAATATGATACTTAACTCAATAAATCAAACTAAATAAGGCAAACCAGAGTCCGATAATTCGGTAGGTACTGTTGTCTACTTGATATTCAGCCTTAAGTATTTGGTGTTAATATGCTAGTTTGATGATTGCCCGTATAACGTGATCGTGTAGAGCGTCATGCTACCGTATCCAGGTTATGACATACCAGTGAAACTGCCTATCAATTGCAAACTAACCGAGACAAACCCGAGTCTGTGAAATTTGTAGTCCTGTACTGTTGTCTACTTATTATTCAATCTTATGTTTCTGATGCAAATATGGTTAGTTTGCGAATTGCCATTAGTATATGACCGTATGAAGCGTCATACTACCGTGTCCAGGTTATGGCATTTCAGTGAGATGGCCCATACATTTGCAAAGTTAACCGTAGACACCAGTTTTATATTATCTAAGTTTAAGTAAACAAATATACTATCAAACGTTGTAGCAATTCAGTTCACATTCAACCGTAATAGGTGTCCAGACCGGTCCAGGTTTTTATCTTATATGACTAAGTAGAATGATATGGTACCCATCATACAATGTGTTGACATTTCAGTAAGAGGACACTTAAAAAACAGCCCTTTAGTGACTGATAACTTGTAAACACCGTCTTCATATGATCTTATGAAGACGACGTTCTCGCTTGTTGCGAGGACGTAAAAACCTTAACAAACATTGTAACATTTTAATAAACGACACAAAATATTCAAATACATTTGATTGAATTGTTTTTAGTACAATGTGACCGGGCGGAACGCTTTGCGGGGAATCTATGGCAGGGTATTTCATTGAGGTACAGTGAAGCACTATAAAGAAGGCATTAGGTCTGTGTTATCAGAATGAGACAAATACCAGCTTCCAGCACGCATACATACATGCAGTCATACACACCACACATGAAGGCACGTCCCCAAATTACCTTAGCTATTATTAGGAAGGTAAACCATGTAAAACAAACCAAACTGATACTCTGTGTTTTGTCTCACCCGTCAATTCCATGTTGGTGATTGCTTCAGATGACAGTGCTTCCTTTCGTATAATTGTAATTTGAATAGGAAATCTTTTTTTAGAAAGATGAACCTAAGACATATACATGATTGCACCTTTACAATTAAATAAATAACACTGCGTTATTCAGATGTTTCGTCCGGTTATGACTCATCGCTGATACTAGGGATCGACAAGTTGAAAATCAAAATCGGTCCAACCACTGAAATTTGCCTTTTTTTCTTTTTCGATCACTAAATACTTCTGTTATAAACCTGCACTGTTTTATTAGCATATTCAGTATTTATAAAAGAACAATTATAACGAAAACCGCGTGTTTGGTAGGATCCAATATGCAGAAATGTATTTGTATTCGTAGAAACATAAAAAATATACATCAAGCTAAAGGAGACACATACACGCATACGTTGTACTCATGAAGTGTTTGTGTGTGGGGGGGTGTGTGTAAATGTCCATGCAACAGCAAGGGTCATATTGGGACGGGTCCCTAGGGCGACACGACCAGAAGGAGATAGAAGATAGAAAAGACAGAAAGCAGACAGGAATGGCAGGAATCGAAAAAGGTCCAAAGTATTGCAATAATGGCAGCAGATATATTTTTGTCTGTCCCATGTCCTCTCTGTAGAAGACACGAGGGAAAGCCCTGTGAAAGCTTTCACATAAGTCGCTTTTTACGACACACGTGCAATGTGACAAAGAATGTATTCTCGTTGTTTCCCAAATGTCCCCTAAAAAGAAGATATACACACCAGAAGGCATGCTGTTTCGGAAGGATTTCTCACCCCAACACGATTTTACGTGTCGGGTGAGAAATCGTGCCGTAACACACGTCCTGAACGGTCTAATCTGTTAACAGAACGTTAGACAAAATAAACAATTGTTGTTTACAAGATGATTAACATCAAACCATTATTTACAATTTAAGTGTGATTGCACAAGACATTTAAAGTGATAATTGAATTGCCCCACCATATATGAGTTTAACTTTTATTATATTACAAACCAGAAATAAACAGCCACACGTGGTAACATTGTGATAATACTATCTATATCTTAATCAGAAATTACACAAGTATTATACAAATCACATGCTTCAACGTGACGCTATCACAGGACCGAACCAATCATGTGTTTAATCAAATGACAACTCACACAATAGCACAGGCACTAACTTAGTTTTCGGGGGACGGTAAAAATGAGCGCCTTGCAAAAATGATAAAACATAAAAAGAAATGTAGCTATTTGAAAAAAATTAAGATATAATTGTCCCTTACCAAGTCACTTCTGATATGAGCACGTTGTCAGAATCAAGTAACGAGGTGTTTGGATTTTTGTTTTTATGTATTTCATAGAGAACATCGTAGCTGTTTTGATGACAAATTATTCTTTATTGTTTTCGCGTTGTAGCGTAGAAATATGTCAGTACTAATATTTGTCCAGCCAATACCACAACAAGAAAACATATCAATTTTATTCTCTTTGTTAAATAAGAAAAGTTTAAAAGAATACATATTTGACACGTAAAAAATATGACTTTGTATAACCTACTCATAGCATTTTTGACAGTTTAGTAACAATGCTATAGTTTTCATAATGGAATCATAAAATACGTTCCTATATTAAAACGATGATATCGTTTACATTGTTTGTATGATACATTTTGATATTCATTCTGACACCAGAGGATACAAACAATGCAAACGCAGCTAATATCAAAAAAAAGTTGGATGATTTTACAGGGTTTAGCGTCCAACCAGCAGCTAAGGTAATTTAAAGACGTGCATTCAATTGTTATGTATTCGCGCATGTTTGTACATGTTATATTGGTGTAATTGACTGCTTGCGATAGCACAGATCTGATGCTACTGAGTATACCTTGTAGTGCCGTCTTACTGAAATACTATGTCATAAGCACCAACATTATATTCCCCCCAGAAACATAATATCGACATAGACTCGTAAAAATTGCAATTTCATATTTAATGGGAATTTGTTTAATAGGAAAAAAAATATTATAAAACATACCTATTAAATTTCTTATTATGCTATTGTTATTTATTGTTCGTATCCTCCAAACGTATCATTTGGCTGTGTACTCGTAGTAAAAATGCTTCGGTGAACATATTCCACACAGTGGGTTGACAGGTGATACAGATGTATATATATTGACAGATGCAGTAACAGAAATCACTCTGGACTTGCACTCAGGTTGAAGAACACATACCAAGGTAGATAACTCACTGATTATGTATCACTGATTTGTTTCTTTGCACATACTTTATATGTTAAATCATATATGCTGCACTGATTTTTAATGAGATTGAAAAGAATCATGTACAAAATCATTGACTTTTTCCTCTGACAAGACTTGCCGTTTGTCTATTTTCAATCCTGGTGCACTATATTACCTGATTTTATATTGCTGATATGTCGTTAGGACTTCTCTTTCTCTCTTCTTCTAACAACCTTTTGTATGTCAGCGCCATGCTTGCCAATAGCTTACCTGTTGCCTTGCTATTCAACATTTGCCAAAATAAGAAAGGAAATAAGTTCTGACAGCAAGCCGGGAAATACCAAAGTTCTTAGAAAGGATAGTTTCAATTACCTGCTATACATGCAGCATACATGGTTATCGGAAAATTGATTAGCCCGTTGCATGTATAATGTGACCGGGTGGGATAATGTATTGGGTGCGTTTTGCTTGTTTTCTAAGTGAGGTAGCACCTACTATAAAGTTGGCATCAGAAGGCAAATGCACCGACACTTCATACAGAAGGCACACATACGCACATATACATTACTCACAAGGAAGCCAACTGTAGTTGCCTTGGTACGCTTTGCACCCAAAACGGCCTTCAGTTTTAATCAGAGCCTTTTAGCCTTTCAGACAACCAAACAAACTTCAGTTGAGATGTTTTTGTCCTTATATAGGTGTGAAGATTGCGATTGTACATCATATTTCGTATGGGTACAAAGTCCAAACAGATAGGCGACCTGTATATGTACACACATCACGAGTACGGTGTCACAACCTCCTATTCGGTATATACGATCAAGTTCATTGTCAAGTAGATATTTAATCGTATGACAGACTGCATGGCGAGTGTCGATAGTGTATTTGGACACATACCCCGTGTAGATAAGGGCATTTCGTCCCTCACCCTCACTGCCACATATTAGAACCTTATATTTGTCCAAGTGAGAAAGGAAATGTGTTTTTTACCCTGGCCGGTACAAACCATAGTATTTAAACTTCGTAAATGATATTTCCTGCAGTAGCAACAACTGCCTAAGCCGTTCCGTAATGTGACCAGGTGTATATTTTTGTTGGTGCATTCGGCTTGGTGCTTTAAAAGATCCGCGAAATTGCAAGGTGTCAAACCACTAACATCCAGCTTTCAGCACATATACACGCTTACACATGAAAGCATGTCTTCAAACGACCTTTACTATTTACATGACGAAAAATCAAATTAACAAAATAAAAACGCAAATTCGATTGTTTTTTTTTTCAATTTTTCCTTGGTTTCATGACACATATGCTTAGAATGTTATGATATTATTGCTACCGTGTTCAGGCTATGTGTTTTCTGTAGGTCGCAGTTTTATAGCCCTTGTTATCATCCTTTGACAAAGAAGCATTTAACTTAAGTATTTGCGAGGATGAAAATGTATTTAGTTCGATAATGAAAAATAAGTATATTGATAACTTATTTGTTAAATAAGAAGCCTTATGAAGTTACCGAACAAAACGAGAGGGGGAGGGGGCAGTAAATGATTCAATGTTAAGGACTATACATGTTTTTCCTCGATTTTTAACAGATGCTCCGACTAGTCTGTGTCGCCGCCGTGATTGTGGCAGCCATGGCTGTACCTATCACAGATGTAAGACTGGATGACGAATGGAAAATATTCCAGACCATGTTCAGGAAGGAATATAACCTCATGGGGGAGACCATGATGAGGTAAATGTTTGTTTGTAATTTGTATGCTTGGAACATATCAATCATTAACAAATAATCGCCTTGAAACTAAACTCGTATACAGTGTAGAAACGAACTATTTTCTCTTAGGAATTTAACGTGTTCAAGATTAAATATATCTAATTACATCATCATTACATTAACGCTTGTGTATATAGTACATACTGCTGCGTCTACCATACAGCTACTTAGCGTAAATTCTGTACATTTTGTTTGCACTGATGTAAATGCACACCTTAATGAAAGATTCATTATCATATGCACAAATATTGAAAATATTATTTAGACGACAGATCTGGGAGAGCAACGTCCGCCTCATCCAGAAACACAATCTGGAATTTGACCGTGGGGTCCACACTTACACCCTGGGTATGAATGAATACGGGGACATGGTAAGTGTCATTTTAATATATATTTAAAATTCATGATGTTAATTTGACTTTGTTAAAACCATTAAATTCAGAACATGTAACGGTGCTTATTTGCTTAATATATGTTGCATTCGTTATCTAACTAGGTAGAAACAATATAGATCGGAACATTCTATAAACCGTTAACGAGTCGTCCATTTAATGGACGTAAACGCAATGTGTGTTACCTGACATAGATATAATATCAAAAGATCAATTTTAACGATGCATTTCCACTAATTTTTGCTTTTATCTAAATATTAAAAAAGACAATGTGTTCTGCTTATTTTGCAGTATGACTAATGAAGTTCAGAACCTCCAACAAATATCAACAGTTTGAAAAATATCAAATATATAAATAATGTATAAAATATTTTGTTCAGTCATTAAACACTACATCGCCTGAGAGAAATAAAACCTGTTGTTATATGGAGCAATATTGTCAATTATGCATTCTTTTATATGGATAACCTGGCAGTAAATGACATTTTACTTATTGCTATTTCATTGTTCTAAATGTCGTTCAGACAAGCGAAGAATTCATCCAGACAATGAATGGATACATGATGAGAAATTCCACTTCCGGTGCAAGTCTGTTTATGCCTCCAAGCAACGTCAAGGTTCCTGACACTGTTGACTGGAGAACAAAGGGATACGTCACTCCAGTGAAAAACCAGGTCAGTTAAATAAAGAGATAAAAAATATGTCAATATGGATCAACATTTCATTTAATTTACACATCATTATCCTTAAGAAACATTTGGACGCCATATACAAAGTGTTTATGAAATTTGTTTGTCGCAGATAATTGGTTTACCACGAACTACTTTCTCTATTTCCATAAATTTGTTATTTTACATTTTTCGTTTTTGAAATATTTCGAAATATTCATTCCTTCTACGGAGAACGCACTGGTAATTTCTTTTAGTGTGACTTTTTTTAGAGTCCATACATTTAATGATAATCAGTGTATCTATTTTTGAAATCGATGCTATACATTCAAATAATTAAGACTTAATTTCATTCTGGTAGCGATTCTGTGTTTGATTATATTATACATTACACATTTTTTTCAAAGATCAAAAAATATCATTACTGAAAAAGTACTAATTTTAGCAAACTCAAATTTTAGCGTGTTATCAATTTAACAGATTAGCGCAATGGTGAATTGGCGCATTAACAATATATGAAAGTAGAAATTATATTCAGAAACTGTAATTAGCAAATTCAAAATTAAGCGTAATATTTACGGCGCGAAAAAGCGCTTATGTTAAAATACGGCTAAAATATGTACTATTTGAGTATCATGTTAATACCTTCGTTTTTACCTTGAGACTATCACATGAGTCATCACCGTATTCATACACGTGAATGATTACTTTTACAGTTATAAATATAATGACTTATGTTTCAGGGTCAATGCGGCTCGTGCTGGGCTTTCTCTACCACCGGTTCTCTTGAGGGACAAACGTTTAAGAAGACAGGAAAATTGGTCTCCCTTTCGGAGCAGAATCTTGTTGATTGCTCATCCCGGGAAGGTACAATAGTTTTCATGTGTCAGACAATGAGTTTTCCCCTATTTTCATTCTCATGATAAACTATTTACAAGGAAATATATACATTTGCTCTGCACCTTCCATTGTAATGCATTGCGAGGCAAATGTTGTTATGAGACAATAACAACAATAAACATTTTGGTATAGTAACGTCATCAATCTCTATTGTGACGTCATTAATTTCTTTTTTGTCAACACTTGATTTGCTGTTCAAAAACTTATCGAAACAACTAAATAAAACATAACTACTCTATCACAATGTAAATATAAATGATGATCATTTTAGCATATATTGTTATGGTCCTATATCAAACATTTATATTGCTGACAAAGTTTGTCATTAATAGCACTGTGAGTTATAGGACCATAACAACATCAACTCAAACATTCATTGCTTAAATAATTGTATGATCGATTACGCATTCAACATTAGAAAATATGTTTGAAAAGATTTCAATGCCATTAGTTCATGATTTATTACAATTGATATGTTCAAAAAAATATGTTTCTGGTTTGGTGAATTCCTATTAGGGACATCTATCTTAAGTGTTGTTTGACCCTTAATGATTCAAACTGTAGATTGGCCGTAAATCAAACCAAAAATAAACAAACAATCTTAAGTGAAGATTAAATATATATGTTAATATATTTTAAAAATCAATATTATATATGATATATGCCCATGATTTACAACAGTTATATAAATTTCGGTTCAAACTTTCAAACGGAATAGTACAGTTTGATTTTTTGTTCACTGATATATTAAACTAAGGTAACCTATTTTGACGATACCATTTCATCTCAAAAACGGTTATTAGAAATCGATAAAGAAGCATCATTTTGTAACAAAGCTGTTCATCGTTTAAGTAAAACATTATCACCAAACTGAACAGCACAGCATGAGGTTGGGAGGAGCTATGATTCGTTGTTTATCGTCTACCAAATGTTTTTTCCTAATTTTACAAACAAATATGCTTGGACTTGCCGTTTAGACAGAAAGTTAAATATTGTAGTCACTGTTAGCGTGCATGCTTCTGATTTTGAAATATATGGTCTACTGATTTTAAATAGAGATACAGCCACTTCCTTTGTAATCTAGTTTTGTTTATTTTAGTTTAATTCCGATACAGGATCTATATGATCCTCTCCACTGGTCTCAAACATGTTTTTTTAAATATAATATACATGTACACATATATGAAAGTTCGGGTATGGATATCACATGTTTAACAAGTTATGTTAGCTCTGTAATTATAAATAATTTTCTGATAAATCCAATGTTTATAGAGTCTGTTCTTAAATGTATATTAAAGGAAATATATTCCTTTTTCGTTTTTTTCTATTATTTTATTTTCTATTTTTGGTTTTCTCCTTGTTTAAGCTGCATAGATATATTTCGTTAGTCATTGTTCTTAAATACAAAATGTGCGTTCTTTGACAGGTAACCACGGATGTAAAGGAGGGTTAATGGACCAGGGTTTCAAATACATTAAGATTAACAACGGAATTGACACCGAGTCATCTTACCCATACACAGCTAGGGTAATGAAAGATACTCAAGTGTTTAGATCACTGTAATTATAATAAATAGACTAAAATTCATCATATCAACACATGTTAATAGTTTGTAATAGTTCAGTCCAGACGCATATCTATATCATAATATATAATGTGTGCAAGAAGGTTATTAAATAATTTCCTTGCGAGAAACATGCAATGAACAATGTTACGATTGAATGGACTTAGAACAAGTTTCTACGAACAATTTTTATATTTTGGAACATTAAATACATTTTGAAATATTTTTGACGTACAAAATAATACCAGTACTTTAAATAATAAATGACATAATAATGGGTATTATATCTGCATATTTTTCGTTAAATATATTTTTTTTAATTCCTTCTGTGACTTTATTAATCTACAGTGATGCTATATCAAAAAAGACTTAAATAATCGATAGCCATAAAAATCAATATAAAACCTATCTGATAGATAAATTTAAAATTACATATTCAAATTTTCTATCTTTCGAACAAAAACACGTATGATAAATGAAGTTGGAATGATCATGCAGACTTAGTAATGTGCAAATTCCTTATATAAGAAGAAAAGATCAGAGGGCATTCATATCAATGTTTTTTTTTTGGTTTTTTTATATATATATCTTTTGTTTCTTGTTTCTATATCTATAATAAAATATAAATGTTTTCGATGTTTTTGATTTAAGTATACTACCATTAATTATTTGTTTTCAGACTGGATTTTTCTGCAGATTCAAGAAAAACGACATAGGAGCCACAGATACTGGCTATGTCGATGTCAAGAGTAAGAGTGAGTCAGATCTTCAAAGTGCCGTAGCAACCATGGGACCTATCTCAGTTGCCATGGACGCCGGCCACAGTTCATTCCAACTATATAAAACCGGTATTTACAGCGAATCCAAGTGCAGCTCTACCAGTCTGGATCACGGAGTTCTAGCGGTCGGTTATGGTACCGACGACGGCAAGGATTACTGGCTAGTCAAGAACAGGCAAGTTATCGCCCTTGCTTCTTAACATCCTTTTTCCTTTCATTTATTCATTAGTTTTCTAAAGTTGGTCTTGGTATTTTCCTGCAGGCTTTCTACCTAATCTTGTAATTTGGATAAAAAGGGAGACAAACAATAAACAAAAGTTTATTAAGACAAAAACTAAAACGTTATTTAAGATAAATATTATAAATATAATAATATATAATAAATATAAATGATATTTAGTGGATATTTATGGTTGCTATAACAGTCCGCAAATTTTAATACGAATCTAATAACGATATTTCAACTTCATGAATCACCCGAAGAGTCATAGATATAGTGCATGCACGTTGAGAGAAACACAAATATATCTTTCATGCTTTAATCCATTCTATTTTTAAAACCTACCCGTTAATTTATCATAACCATACGTTCGAACAATTTAACAATTCGAAATTACAAGATGATATTAATTGTTCGCCAAAATTAACAATTCCACAGAAAATTGATATGTCATAAACAATCAACCGATAATACGTCATATTTATAATTGTTTCTTTGTCTTTCTCTGTTTCAGCTGGGGAACTAAATGGGGAATGGAAGGATACTTCAAAATCGCCCGTAACGCGGGAAACATGTGTGGATTGGCTACTCAGGCCAGCTATCCGACAGTGTAATGGAAGACGGACGTTCATTGATTAAAAATAGCTCACACGTGATGATCTCATCCATCATTTTCATTCCATTTGTGAAAAACTATTTCTTTCATTTTTAATAAATAATTCAAAGAATCATTTGTTTCTTTTCTGATTTGCATAGCATATGATTATGAATTTTTATGTTTTAAAATATCACCTCTAAAAGCATTCGCTTTTTATTTAGAGCTGCCGTTTAGTCTTAAGTGGTGGGTACATGTTTAAATCAAGTTAGATATACTTTTCCAATATTGGATCTATTTCGTTTTTAACCGTGGAATTAATCATGTTTTAAAAAAAAACTAAACATGTACATGATCAAAAAACTAAAAGAAATCAGTTATAGACAGGATTCTTAATTCAAATCTGTTTAACGATCAATCCAGTTTCGGTATGGTCTGTTTCTGAATGTATTTTAAATCATGACTATGGTTTTACTGTTTTAGGCAAATTTAAAATCAATATCATCTTGTTATTGCAACAAAAATATGTGAATGCATGGAATGTTCTTGATCATTTAAGACAACATTCGTTAATACACACGACAACATAAACACATATCTCTCCCACAACCACCATAGGTTTCATCACTCCCGATTCATTGGATAAACTTGCTAGGAGTTAGTAAACATGTTTGTTCTAGTGGGTAACACCCTGGACGTGTTTCCATCGGTTAATGTTTTACTAATGACGTCACCTCACAATTCCTTGCGACGTCATCTTCCATTGTGACGTCATGATTCACGACATTTGTTTCTCCCGACATAGTGTGGTTTCAAGGAATACATATGGCTTTCCAAATAAAATATGAACGTTATTGCAGAAAAAAGGACCCCAAACTCGTGATGGTAGGTTATCATGTTTATCTAAATCTCGTTAGTTGATTTTCAAACTGTAAGAGACACTCGGTAAACCTTGTGCCTTTATACAATTTTAAAATTAACTAACTCGAGTTATATATACACGATAACAAACCATTGGGAACCTCTATGTCACTCATGTACCCTTGTGTCAATAAGAGGTTCTCAATATAGTCAACTAAACATCTATGCAAACACGAGCATGAAAAATACTTCAGGTTTCGATATTTCTCTCCAAATACAAACTGATAAAACTTTGTGTTATCTTTAAATTGACAAACTGTCTAGGCACTCTTTAAACTCTAACACAGAAATAAAAACTTCCATCTTGAATTCTTTTTGACGTACTTTCCTCTGTCTATTAATAAACACTTCTGATTTGTGTTTGTTTGTTGACAAGTGGATATTTTTCCTCTTGCTTTTATATTTTATAAAACATATCCATAAGTTTGCATTTGTGTCCCATTAAGTTCAACGTTCAACAGCATGCATTGAACAAAGAATGACATAGTTAAACACGCATTCAAGATTAAATATACACCATTTTACATTTTTGTATGATATGATATGCAAAATTTGTAACGACTAATCACCCAAAGGGTACCACTGTTCCATTCGAATAAAAAGAATGATTTTTAATTATTTGCAAATAAATGTATTTATAGGAAACTTTAGGAAAGAGATTATCTGTAGTATCGGGGTTTTTTTTCGGGAATTCCATTTTTCACGGAACATTTTTATTTTATTTTTTTGTCATTAATTTCGAATTGTTTTTACCAATGAGACTTATAGCAGACTTTTTTTGTGTGGATGTGTCATCAGGTACCATATAACTTATATGTTATCTCTATTGACCTCTAAACATAGGCCCATTTACAAGACAAATTTATCCATGCATTTTACATGCAGACCGCGTGTACAATCTTCCATGGAGTGTTCAAAGTCCATGATCTGACTAAGCTCAGTCTCTATGTATTAAGAGATATACCAGTCAACCACAGATTCTGGTCAAGTAATCAAAATATATGTAACATTTAATGATATTGGAAAGTTATTGTCTCATAATGGGGGGTTTTCTGAGAAAACGGAATGATATTCAGCGTATATGCAGTGCACGTATCACGATGTTCTAGATTGTGGCTCTGGAACATTATATTAATTTATTATTTGCACTAGAGCACTGATATGTTAACACGTGTTTGATCTGCAGTCACACCTCTCGTCTTACGCCAAGGAAGTCATATTTCAGAACTTGACCGAATTGTGATCAAGGTATTGACAATGCTGTAATGTCCTAGCAGTATTTTGACGATTTAAATTAGATGAACTTTACTATGACCTAGAAAATAGCCCGTACATTCGGTACATTGGCAGTCCGGGTCATACCAAAGTCCTTACAAATGGTAGTTGTTATTCCCTGCTAAACGCTCAGCATCTGGGGAAGTGACAATAACTAGTTCACCCGTTGTCAGTATAATGTGACCGGGCGGAATGCTGTGCCGGGTGCATTCGGCATGGCGTTTAAGTGAGATAGCACTCGAAGTCGGCATCAGATCCGCGCTATCACAAGGAGGCAAGCACACCAACATACCCTGTGTACTGCATACACACACGCAAGCACGCATACACTACACACACGGACTCACGTCCTTAAATGACATTAGCTGGTAAAAGGACGTTAAACAAAAATACAATAAACTAAACCAATCGGTACATGGGTAGTAGTAACCTAGGAATAGAATATTAATACTTAATGTATGTATACAAAATATATAAATGAACCAAAGCGCGACCACACAAGAATTCATACAGTAGTTCAACAGAAACAAATCATGACTACAAAGTTAAAAAAACAAAACAATTAACTAGGTTGTTAAATTAACGTCCCTACAACACATATGGTCATATGAAAACGGGTACAGAGACTGACGCCACCGAAATGAAAGAATTGAGATTTGAGGAAGGGAAAAATACTGATCCCGAGTGTTGAAATAATAGTAGCAGATCTGTTTTTAGTTTTCTGGTTTCCTCACTGATATGCGACAGACAAAAATTTGACCCGAATTCACTAAACCTTCATATTATGCTCAAACTTTGATTATTTGTTAAATTACACATTTTAGTTCTGGTCGAGTTATTGTAAAGACTTCAATATTTTCACTGCGTCGCATGGTTGCAATGGCCTATAATAAATTAGGTTTGAGCACAGAAATATTTTTGAAACAGCTGTATGATGCAGAATAATTCATTTTTGGAATACTTTATCTATTCTCAAAAATATTTAATGTGCAATCACATTTGTGTGTAGAGCATATGAATTGTTTCTATGAATACGGTGAACGATGCTAGCTAGCTTGTATCATATCATTGTCGTTTGAAGTTATTATTCTTTGCATTTTCTTCCTCGGCTCATATCGTCTTTGCGTACTGCAGAGTTATCTTTTCTTGTGAGCAGGTATTGATTGTTACGCCATTGGTTTGTGAGAGTAACGTCATCATTTTTTGAGAAAACGACGTAATTTTCTCACACAAACCAATGACGTAACAATCAATACCTGCTCACAAGAGAAGAAAACTCTGCAATACGCAAAGACGGAATTGCAAGCATACTGTTCCATTCACGTTATATGTAACACTGGTTTATGTTAATGTTTCGTATGGATTTATCAACCTCCAGTGTATTTTTTCGATGCTTAATTCACATATGATTTCGCTCTTAGTGTCTTGTATAGACACAAAGTAACTTCTAAAGGGCAGTTAATTGTTGCATTGAATATGCCCTAAGTGACATCTTTGAGTTGTTTTGATAATGTGACGTCACATTTACGACCAAATCCACAAAAATATCAAAAGGGACAGTGCTTCTCACAGGGGATACAAGTCATACTTAAATGAATACTTAAGACATACATGTGTAGAATGATCGAAAGTCTTTAGAGCAGACAGATAATCACAACAGACGTGTACCCAAAATAATCTGCCACAGTACTTTACGTTCATCCATGTAAGTTAATTAATACATTTTTTTTCAACATTGAAATCTTTCCCGAAACATTTTTCTGTGACTCTTTTGAAATATCAAAATATTTATCTATTTTCTTACTTTTTACCATCTACTTAAGAGGACATCGTAAATTGTCCTAAGCCAGAATTAGAGTGAGTTCACGTTGATAACACAGAATGTTTACTCAGGAATATTTATCCCTATGTTGACGTAAACATGGATGTTTTCAACACGTATTGCAAACAACATCATCTCTATAGCCTGTTCGGCCTGGAAACGGAGAAATTGGGTCACAATTTATACAACAAGAAGGAAATATTTGTTATGATACTTGAACATTTGTAGCCTACTACCTTAAATAATCTCTAATAATTGAAACTCTAAATCGTAAAGCAAACATTGGGAGAGAATAAATAGTTTTGTCAACTTACAGGGTAAATATTCGAAGTTGAGCAAGGTGAGGTGATTTTTTTTAATCAGGGTGAATTGATAGACAGTTACGACACCCGAAATAGGTAGAGTGTTACAGCGCTAAAGTAGTTTGACCCGTATGGCATTGAGGTCAATTTATGATAAACAGAGACCCCTGTGTGCGATCCATGATAACATAAGGTTGCCCAAGTCCCCCACAAAGCCTTAACATATAGGTGAAGTGGAAAGGGAGATAAGAGCATGGCTACGTGACCGCATTTGACCTATGTTTGCATTTCAAGGACAGTAACACTAAACTCTAAATTCAGTACAATTGTTCGAAAAAAATATGTGAAATAGCCTCAAATCTTTCATTTGAGGTACGGTAGTCTAGTTGTAGGACGCCGGGCTTGTGACCAAACGATTGCGGGTTGGTGTCACGGCATGGCACCGTGTTGTATCTTTGAGCAAGATACTTTACTCCTCTTGTTCCAGTCTACTCAGCTGTAGATGAGTACGTGGTTAGGCAGTGCTGGAATTCTTGAATGCTAGCTGTGAGCACCGAAATGGCATCACCGGCTGTATGCTCTCCAAGAAGTTAAGAAAGATATTTGCTGATTGCAAAGGCCCTATAACCACGGAAAATAAATTATGAACCGCTTTAAGATTACATGGATGGGGGGGGAGGGGCGGGATAACGAATAATGTTTGTTTTGTTGTATCTTTTATATCTTGAATTATATTAAACCACGTTTTTCCCAAACATTTTTTCAAACATTTTTGACGCCAAACTCTGGTCGAGAAGTCAGATGAGAAAAACTATCCTCCGTTACGTATCTTTCAGGACTCGAAAACAATTAAACCGTGTATATTCCAACGAATGTTGCAATTTTTTTGACGAAAATACTCTTTTCGACTGAGCATGTATATGTGAAAATCGTGAAGGTTTGGTTTGGTTGAGTATTGTTTAACGTCCTATCAACAGCCATGGTCATTTACAGACGGCCTCCCGTGTGCGTAAGATACATGCGTGTAGTGCATGCGTGTGTGTTTTGGGAGGCTTCGACATGTTCGTGTTTGTCTCCTTGTGAGAGCGCGGAACTGATGCCGACTTTATAGTGCTACCTCAGCGAAACACACTTCCGAAGACACCCAGCAGGATACCCCACCCGGTCACATCATACTGACATCGGGTATTCATGGATTTACTTCGTTACAGTTACCGGTCTTCCCACTCCCAAACTGCTGAGCGTTGAGTAAAAACTACCATTTTAGCATTGGCCGTTAAAGGCTCAGTAGATAAATAAATAATCAATATGAACAGATATCCACACAAAATCATATTTGTGTTTGGAAGTGACGTTGAAATCCTTTGTTTTTATTTTTATTATTTATTTAGATGAATGAATAAAACGGATAAATATAATCATATTGAAACTTATTTGAGCATGATTTAGAGCGGCTGAATGTGACAGCTGTATCATATATTTTACGTTCAAAACCCAAAATTTAAAATTTTCTTATGAAAAATAAACGAAACAAATCTAACTAACATAGAAGATGAGATGCATAATATTCACTACCATTTAACAAACAGAATCAAATCGTCGTATCATGGAGTTGAACACAATTTAATAATGATGTATTCCACTATTTGTTCTAATAACGCGTCATATAGGTCAATCAGTCCATGCTGCCTTGCTGCCGTTACAGCATACCCGGATATCTTAACAGTGTCTCATGAAAAATGGAGTAAATGATATTAGAATAGATAATGCGATGCATGATAAACAGTACCCTATAACAAACAGAATAAAAATGTCGTGTGATTGGGCTTACAACAACTTGATTATAATTTCGTTCCATTTGAACAACAAGGTGCTATCTTGATTTTTCATAGTTTTGAGAAAATGGCCAGTGACAGTTTTGGATCGTTCCAGCTTTTAACTCGAACTTCTTTCCAATATAACACCTATTTGTTATATAGGTGACTCAGTCCATGATGCTATGCTAGCGTGACAGCGTTTCTAATACATATGTTCTGTTGACCTTTCTTGGTGATTAATATGTTTGTTCTGAATTATATAAATGTAATATATGCGAAAAACTTATCTATCCTAGCTGTCTGTTTGTCTGTATAGGAATTCTTATCTCAATACCCTGTTTACACAATCACAGAGCACGTGACACCAATCTAAGCTGTTTTCTCTATATATGCTGGTCACCATAGGCTCATTTCACAAGCCCGGCTGATTCCCAAAGTATCAAGGTGAGTTTTACCGACGGATTTCGAGCACTGAATGGTGTATGAGATAGCTTGTTTTAACGAGAAACTTCTTTCAATTGTTTCTAGAACGTCAAATTGTAATTTGATAAGTTTGAAAATAGTTGTAAGTATTGAATTTTTTGAAATGTTATAGCTATTGATGAATTATTAACTGTTTGTGTCTGCAGATGAATATCTACCAAAATAATACGCAAGGCATTGCTAAGACGAATGCCGACCTAAAGATACTTTTTGCATTGATACGAAATCAATTTACACATAGTCACGTTCATCAGTCTTAATTGGGAAACGTCCTCGTTATCGGATACATTATTTTGATATTGGGGTCGCACAATGAATCGACGTAAGTAGGTATAGTAAGAACATAGGAATGGAAAATAAAACACCATTATATGTCACAACATGCGCCATGAATTCATAACAATGTTCAGGACTACATTGTATCAAAAGTAATGTAACATAAATAACCGTCCTGTTATATGTTGATATTTTGACGAAACAACCAACCTTCGTTTTTATTTCTTATTGTCTTTTTAGATGAATAAATAAAACGGATCAATATAATTATATTGAAAATTATTTGTGCATGATTTTGAGAGGCTATAATTTTTGAAAATATTTCTTTTTTATCTAGACCTCTTTAAGAACTACGCACACAATCGCACCGTTTCGTATAAAAATAACTGTTTTTTTAACTTTTTTTCTCGTGATAAAATCACAACTGATTTTTAAACTTAACAATACATCAAAGGAAAAATGAAGTAGGACTGGTTTTTTCGTGTAACAAAGGCTTCTTTAAATGTCAAATTGCGATGTAGTTTCTTAACTTCAGCAACTTGTTGCTTGCAACAATACACTGATTTTTGCAGCTAATATATTGGTTTATTTTATCAAAAAGGGTCAATAAACTCCTTTGAGACTCTCATCTGCGAATTAGTAACAGACCAAGAAATTATTAAACAAATGTTACGCCCCTCTTTAAAGGTGTAAATAAGCATTCATTGTGAAATACCAGTTTTAGTTCAATGTGAGTTACTTTGTTGAGTGATCGGTTACTGCATATGACTTCATCTTAGCATATACCTATTGTTGTAAATGGTTTTGGATTTCAATTTGAGATATAAACGGCAACATAAATGTACATATTATGTGTAAAATGATTAAAATGAATGCTCACCGAATGTCAAATTCACTACAGATCGTGTCGTGCATAGATACTGAAATGTATTACACGTAACAAACCGCAGACGCGAACTTTTTTCGCGACATGGAAATGATCGCCTTTTCTTCGTCGAATAAATTAACGCAAAAAATATCCAACCGCAAAATCTAAGGAGATTATATGAATCATAGATATACAGAATGCATAACTTAAAAGCATTGACAATGCAAATTTTCCCACACTGCAATCAGTTTAAGAGTCAAAACGCGAAAAATGCCGACGCACGATAATTTTCAACTTGTACAGTATGGGATATACAGCTTTAAGTTTTAATCATTACTTTGCCTTGTCTTTGACAGATGTTGAAGCTAGCTCTGTTATCCGTACTGTACGTGTGTGCCATTGCCACGCCCCTCACCGATCCAATCCTGGACGATGAATGGACACTTTTCAAGAACACATACAACAGACAGTACGAAGGACAAGAGGAGCTGATGAGGTAAGAACATAAAATACAATAGATGAAGATACATTAAAGATTGTGTGTTTTCAATTTCATGCGTGTATGAACGGAAATCAGTTACATATATATTTACCATGAACCCCGCAACATCGTAAAAATGACGTTCAATCTTCTATTTACATTCTAAAGTTCGGGTTATTATTGACCTTATCATAGATCTTCCCTTATATGTTCGATATTGAAGTGTCTGTGTTGTTAGCGCAAACGAAATTCCTAGAACATGCAACGTCACCAAAATGTTGGCTTCTAACGGTTGTCTCTTATCATTTGAAGCAGTAGAAGGGTCCAAACCACGCTGATCAAATCGCGTTCATAGCTCTTTGAACGCAATTTCTTTTGGTTATGCTTATAGGGGAAATTGCGGTTGTAACGTGGGAGCGGGCACCCGTCCAGTCATAGGCAATGCTTGATGTTTCTGAACTAGTGAGCACGTCATATAGTTATATGTCATTTTATACGCCCGTTAGATTTGACGGGAGTATTATGGTATGGCATTGTCCGTTTGTCCGTCCGTCCGTCTGGCGTAAACTTTTGTTTGTCCGGCAATCTTCTCCTACATTTTTCGACCGATCTCTTTGAAACTTGGCATATATCATAACCGTGATATGAAGTTGTGTCTCCCTTAAAATAATTTTGATCCGACAATATTTGCAAAAGTTATTGCCCATGGTTTATTTCCGTATTAGATTTTTGTCCGGCAATCTCTTCCGACATTTTTTGACAGATTTCTTTGAAACTTTGTTGGCTAACTAATCATGATATGTTGTTGTGTTTCCTTGAAAACAATTGCGATTCGACGATTTTTAGAAAAGTTATTGCCCTTTGTTCATTTCAGTATTTGTTTTTTTTTATCCGGAGATTTTCTCCTACATTTTTATAGCATGTCAGCTTACCACTTTTTGAATGATGCAGATCTTATGTCAATTTAAGAAAGTATATGACACTATATGTCATTCAACGGGCGTATATTGTTCCGCCCCGCGGTACTCTTGTTGGAAAAGCTAGCCTGCCAGTTAGTTAGTACTTTTGTTATTATTATTTTTCTTTGCTGTTACATTATCCCTCCTACCTCAGTGAAGTCTCTCACATGGGGAACCCCTTGGGTCCTCCCTGTGTAGCAAAGTATTTCCATTGCAAAACTTGTGATTACATGGGCAGTTTTTAGGTACTTCTATAACGGTTTCCATCACTACTAGAACTTATATATATACATATATATTATATATATTTATAGACGGATCATCTGGGAGGACAATGCCCGGTTTGTTCAGAGGCACAACGTGGAAGCTAGCAACGGACTTCACACGTTCACCACAGGAATGAACGAGTTTGGAGACCTGGTAGGTAAACATTCTGACAGAAAAAGTCCATGATGTTAAACAATATATATTAAGGGTCCCTTGTCCACTTCACTGTAGATGTTCGCGTATATACGGTGACCTCCACTTAATTTCATTTAGGATGTAACAGTAGCACACTATAGCAACAACACTTTTGTTAACCCAATAGCTCAATTGGTTAGATATATTGTATACATATAACAAACTTACGCTATTGGTTTGAATCCTGGTCAACCCCAGCTAAATTGTTTACACTCAGAACACTGTTCTCGCTGGTTTGATTTAGTTCATTTCGTTTTTATTATTTTCTCATAAAAGGCTCGCAATGTATGGGTTTTTTTGAAGATCAATTTTCATGTTATAGTCGTGCCGGAAAAAAAAAAAGTTTCCGATGCGTAATTACAGTTATTGGCAGTGGCAAGGGGTCCTTATGCTCACTCTAGAATTCAAGTGTGTTTTTTGAACCGCCTTAAAACTGTTTTTGATTTGTGTAACATGGTCACGATAGTATTGTTGACATTAAATTGGTAAACGAGGTCTTCACTAACAGTTTTTCATTATGTATATCAAATTCATTTAATTAATCCTACACTTTGGTTTCTTACCTCCACCAAATGCGGTTCTCGTCCTTAAATGAACATAGCTGAACACAAGACGTAAAATACAATCAAACCATACCAATCATTCTACTTTTAATCACTTTTCAGACCAACCTTGAGTTTGTGAGTATGATGAACGGTTACATCATGCGCAACTCTACGAGCAATCTTGTCTTTGATGCGTCCAAGGATACTGTAACTGATGACACTGTTGACTGGAGGACAAAGGGCTACGTCACTGAGGTCAAGAACCAGGTCAGTTTATTTATTCTTATGTGAATAGAATGTTTAATAAAGCAAAGATAAAATACGTTAATAGAGTAAAGATAAAAAACTTTAATAAAGCAAAGTTAAAAAAACTTAAATAGTGCAAAGACAAAATACTTTAATAGAGCAAAGATGAAAAAAAAACTTGAATAGAGCAAAGATAAAAAAAACTTGAATAGAGCAATGATAAGAATACCTAATGTGTTACTTTAAAGGAGGTAAATAAACAAATAAAAACGTTAAATATTCAAATAGAAAGCGGATTTCTGAGTTCTCTAATTGATGGCTGATACAAACATTTGCTGGTCTGCATTCTACTTCATATTTGCGAATTAACTGAAATAATTTGAGTATCTTCTCGCAAATTGAATCAAATTTTATTTCTTTGATTTCGATTTGTCAAAATATTGAACGTTGTAAATAATGTGCATCACCCTCAAAAGTCACTATCAACTATGAAAAACGGAAGGAATATGGAAGGTTGATATTTCACGGGGTTTTTGGGAGTGAGAATATAGCGCACATACAACTCTTTGAAATATTAGGGATCTGCAATAACTGCTTTTTGTATTTTCAATTCCTGAATTTTCCATTTTGATTCTGTAAAGGGTCAATGCGGATCCTGTTGGGCGTTTTCAACTACAGGCTCGCTAGAAGGACAACATTTCAAGAAGGAGGGCAAATTGGTTTCTCTGTCTGAACAAAACCTGGTTGATTGTTCCAAGAAACAAGGTACGATTGGTGTCAAAGTACCTTTTTTGTTAAACTTAAATATAATATTTGAAAGCAATAATCCTTTAAGATAAACTCTGGATCCTTAGTACTATCTCTGATAGTGTACTTATTCATTTTGTCTCATTGTTGTTGTTTAATTATGCAAAATGCAGTTATCTTGTTATTAGTCTGTGGAATGCATACACATTTTGATAACATTTGAATATTAACGTTGTAATTTTGTCTGATATAGGAAACCACGGATGTCAAGGAGGTCTGATGGACTTCGGTTTCAAATACATTAAGGAAAACAAGGGAATTGATACTGAAGAGTCCTACCCATACCGTGCAAAGGTACGCTTCACTTAAAAAGGGCCTTTCTTAATTGTATTATTAGCATGTTAAAATTTATGAAATATGTTTATTTAGAATGACAGATTGAGTTGAAAAGAGATTCGATATGGTGAAGATAAAATGAGCTAGCATATTTACGTTGCGATACGACACAGATCACACACTTATGAATTATATCTACATTACCTTAAACTGGACAAAAATTATTTAGAGAAGTTTATCTGTTGCAGCTTAAATTTGTCAATCTGTTTATGTTACAACTTTTTAAAGGCACATTTCCCCGTTGCTTTTTCTACATGTAGTTCTGAACTGTATTTATATTCTGTTGATCTCAGTATAACAGATAACTCCTACATGACAGATATTGTGATATGGGGCAGTGAATATTTACTTTGACTAGCTTTCCTACATCGACATAATGTTTCGAAAAAAAAAAATGTCGCCATAAGCCATATTAGGAACATAATAATAATAATGAAAGCACAAAGAAGAATGTGTTGCAGATTGTTTCAATATTGATAAAAAATATATATACTTTTCTTCCCATGGTCCTTCTGTTATTTCTGTTTGTTGTGTCATTTGACATTCTTTCCATCGGTTATTTCTACTTCTCATTGTTCATGTGTTATTTTCAACAGAACGGTAAGTGTAAGTTTGAAGCCAGCAATGTTGGTGCCACTGACACCGGCTTCGTTGACGTCAAGAGCAAAAGTGTAACAGCCCTTCAGCAGGCAGTGTCTACCATTGGTCCAATTTCTATTGCCATGGATGCTAGTCACAGGTCATTCCAGATGTACAAGACTGGAACATACAAGGAACCAAAGTGCAGTTCCACCAAACTTGATCATGGAGTCCTGGCCGTCGGATACGGAACAGAAGGCAGCACTGACTACTGGATCATCAAGAACAGGTAAGCTTTCGGCAAATCTGTCATGTTTTACGCATATCAGAAATAACATTAAATCAATATTTGTCTGTGAAAAATAAGCATCACATTATGCTATCTACGTGTACTGTTAAATCGTTTATTTCCATTTTTCGAACAATTATTGGATTTAAAAGATAAGTATTGTACTGCAAAAAAGGTAAATATTTCCGCACTCTGAAGTGATCGAAGCATGGAAAGTTTAGTGTTTGCATTGTTTCTTCAATATATATAATCTATGTCTATATCATCTATACATTACTACATGTGTTGATGTTGTAATAGCTCTAAAACACATATTGCTATTGATGACAAATTCAATGTCCTTTGAACAGCAAAATTATGACTTTACAACTGATGACGTCGAATAAAGATTGATGACGTTACAATAGCAAATGTTGTTATAGTCTCACAACAACATTTGCCTTCTCAATGCATTGCGATAGAAAGTTGAAGGACAAACGAAAATATTCGCATGTGGATGTTTCCCCATTTACTACCATTTCCATACCGCCAAAAAAAACCACTTTTGCGCTTCAACTTTTCTACGGATATTTTTTTTTTTTTTTAAACCTTATAAAGATATCAACGTTTATCTAAAATGTCCGTTGTATATATTAATGTGTATATATTTTACAATGCTGACCTACCGTTACTTTCAATCCAGGTTAACTAGTAAATAAAAAACATAACTCCAAGAATATTTATTATTCATTTAATTGAATAAACATTTACCTGTACATGTATTTTCTTTGTTCTTTTCAGCTGGGGAAAATCCTGGGGAATGGACGGCTACTTCCAGATCGTCAGAAGCGAGGCAAATATGTGCGGAATCGCAACACAGCCAAGCTACCCTACTGTTTAAATGTATATAGACTACATCTAGGGTTTTTTTAAAGTGTGGAAGAAATCGTTCAAATTCGGAAATAAATATTTACATTTTTTGAAGAAAAAACTGGTACATATATGTTGTTGTGTATGTTTGTGATCATTGCAAAAATACTCGCATTTTTAAAATCAATATCGAATTTTGATTTGCACACAACTGAGGTGGCAATTCTCGTTAGAAATTGTACATGTTTTGTAAAACATGTTTTTATTTCAACCTTTATCTTTTAAGAAAGTCTCAGACAGTCAAGATCTGTTACATGTAGCTACATGCGTTCACAGAATGTATACCTTTTCCAGCACCTTTTTTTTACATTTTCTTACGATAATAAAAAAGTTTTTTTCTATATCATGTTTATTTGTTATAATTGCAGACATGACATGGTTTACCCGACTGGACACAATTGGATATATGTATATATTAACATATTCGTCATTAAAAATACATTTACTGACCTTGTGGTAGTGAAACATGAATATGTGTTTCCCTGAGATAATAAAACAAAATATCAAATCACTTTGGGAAACGGTAAATGTCCCTACAAGTTTAACCTATCTTAAAATTGTTTGACTGTTCAAAAACACTTAAATGACCACAGCCATATTTGCTTTCAAAGTTGACGTTGAATTTTTCCGTTTTTTTAATGTGATTTCATTTCACGAGTTTTGCAACTAACCATAGCCACTTTTGCATTTCAAATTCACGTTAGTCTTTTATCTTCTCGTTTGTCTGATGCTATTTTATACCTGTTTACTCTACCTTTTGTCAGTCGTTAGGACCTCTTCAGCGTTATTTAGCCATTAAGGATTTAATAATAAACTTACTTAAATAGTTTTAGTATAAGTATCAAGAAAATCATGATACATTGTATACAGGACATGTAATAGCTAGTTAACATTGATTGTTTAAACAAGTTTATTTCATTTTAAGTAGTTTCTCATAAAGGGTTTGCTGAGACTGAGAAGTCGAAAGCAATGTAATCGATGTATAGAGGATCTTACATGAGTGTTAATGTCATATTTAACGAGTTCAAAACTTAAACGAGTCTTTAGGCGAGTGTAATATCAAATTTTTGAACACGAATGTAAGATTATATTCATCACACAACCTTCATTTGAAAACAAAACTTCAAACACAAGTATGTGTTCTAAGCTGATTATAAAGGTGAAACCAAAGTACTCCGATCAAGGTATTGTCGTAATGCGCAGTGCAATGTAGTTCCAGATATTTCTCTCTTTTTTTGTAATTATTAACAGTTTTAAAAGTAATGAAAACAACAAAATTTATATTCTAAATTCATTTAAATTAACAGTAGAAGAATCATGAAGTATTGTAAATAAAAATGCACATGGTATCTATAGTTGCGTTGGAACATGTTCCCACAATTTTAACCAATAGCAACACCTTTGTGTAAGATTTATTACACATGTGTAATACCACACTAATGACATGACCGTATACTATAGTAGAATGGGTCATATCATATGTAATAAAATGATGTCTGTCATCATTAATTAGTATCTGATTGGAATACTGATCAGTAAGTGTGGGTGTCGAAGACCTGGTAAGGTAGCACTCGCAATGTCGATATAAGATATGTTTTATTGCAAGGAGGCATATGAGGCACCATGCTTCCTCAAGCGGACATATACTCATACATACATACATACATACATTGAGGCACGTCTTTAAATGACATACACTGTTTATTCCGTCTTTTCGTATTGCAGAATTATCGTTCTTGGGAGCAGGTATTGATGTGTTACGGCATTAGTTTGTGTGAGAAAATTACGTCGTTTTCTCAAAAATTGATGACGTTACTCTCACAAACAAATGACGTAGCAATCAATACCTGCTCACAAGAGAAGACAACTCTGCAATATGCAAAGACGGAATAGTACGCTAAACACGATAATTCTAAAACGAATTCATCCTTTGTTTATTTTCTGATGGTAGTATTTCGAATTCAAGATGATATATATATATATCCTGATGAACCTCTAAAGAGAAGAAAGCACCAGGGAAGTCGAAGAAGCTATGGTCTTTGAGGGTTTTATATATATATATATATAAATATGAAGAACCTATTTCTGAATAAGTCCCCATTACAAGTAGAACGAAATACATACAAAATGTTCAAGTTCTGTGACAGCTTACAGATTATATTTGTTACGGGATGAGATCGGAACAAATGGGAATGGGACCATACTCCTTCCCTCAGCTACGGAACAAAAGTTCTCTTTACTAAGGAATATTTATGGGACGAATACCCTTTATTCAAATGGTTTCATAAAGTGCATGAATACATTAACAAGTATCAAAAAATATATATAACACGAAAGGGAAAGAAATTAAACGTCGTACAGTATTACAATCCTTTGTGTTCTACAACTTTATTAAGACAATGCGGCAAATGGTCTTGTATACTCTCTTTCCCACTTTCAATATCTTCGAACGTTTTAGCACTTACTAAGTCGTAGTTATCATCAAACATAATTAACATTTCTGGCAAAGCCAATGCAGGTTCATGCTGAGTGTGTCAGATACTTGATATGCATCATTTAGTTTCAATAATGTACACAGAGGTGTAAGCATATTTGTAAATTAACTCTTTCTATGATAAGATAACGTTTATTAATTGGAATTATATATTATCTTGTAATGGGGCATTGACTTTTTAAACACAACATCGGACATATATATATATATATATATATTATTATTATATTAAAGCCACAGAACATGAAGATTATTGTTTTATTTATATATTCAGTACCGGCCGCTTCCCGGTACTAAATATTGTCTCGTCCATAACCTCTGAAATTTGTATGAATAGAAGTATTTGCATGGTATAAATGACACAATTTTTTATTTGTTTGCTATGTGATCTGATAATGGTTCTCCCTTATAAGTTAGTATCCTCCTAGACCGTCATTTTAAATAAAAAACAAATACATCTTCCATGTGGTTAAATATTTTTTTACTTTAGCAATATGATAAAATCATACCATTTTACTGGACCTAGGGCTATTTTGATACATACTGTTTGTTATACGCCGTGTCAAGGCGCAAATTCAAGCTGCCCAGACACTTATCCCTGCCTTTCACATAAACCACTGTATATGGAAATGCGAAGTAAATTTTATCCAATGCATTCTTATTTACCTAACAAAATAAGTTAATCTGTGTAACAACTAAGACAAACATACTAATGAGGAAAATGCCTATTAAAACTTATTCATAATATGAACAGCATTCGGGTCGATTCCACTTATTTAACTACATACCCATTTGTAATAATGATTCCGTAACATTGCGCCATCTTTTGATCATTTGGAAAGTAACGAATTTTCACTCGCTGGCACTTCCCACGCACGGCAAGTCATTGTTTTAACAATGAAATGGCGTGCAATGCGAAAATCAACTGTTCAATGTGTTGGTCTGACGCCTTTTATATGTTATTAATTATACATTTTATGAATATATTTCAACAAAATCCTACAGTCATTCTTTGTTAGGAGATACAGTTGATATATTTATACATATATAGAAGAAACAAACATGAAAAACTAACTTTCCCGTGATGTCGCTTTAAACCAACGACAACTTTATACAAATCATGATGAGATATATTAAGCATACTAGTTTGACACACAGATGCTACCCGGTAAACAAATTATTATGAGGTTCGTCTCTGTTTTTTCATCTTCCAATATGAATACAAGAATGTAAAAACAAACGGACCGGTGGGGCATTTAAGTTCGTTTATCTAAAGTAAGGCTGATAGATGTAGGTCACGCGGTTAGAGATAGTTTGTCCTTGACAGATAACGGATCCACTAGGGAATAGTTTTGGGGAAGTTTCCTCGCAAAGGGGGTAGAAATTACCCTATTTTCGATGAAACTTCCCCATTTTCGATGAAACTTCCCCAAAAAAGTTTTATTTCCCTATTCCCGGTAGGACTTCCCCTTTTCTGTGAAATTTCCCCTTGGTCCGCTGAAACTTCCCCTTTCCACTGAAACTTCCCCTTTCTGCTGAAACTTCCCCTTTCCGCTGAAACTTCCCCTTTCCGCTGAAACTTCCCCTTTCCGCTGAAACTTCCCC